CCAATGAGAACGGGGCACCACCTGGTGGAGGAGGAAAGGAATCACAAAAACAGACCACACAAATTCCTGACAGACGTGTGTGGATTTCTGCAGGGAAATCAATCTCCTGAAGAAATCCAAGTGTACATAAAGACAAAGTTAAGAAGAACTTTAACTATTGTTTTTATTCTCAACATAAAAACCTTTAAAAATGTTATTTGCAGCATTTTGCTTCAGTCTTTCTGCATAACTTTCAGTCACATAGTTCCTTTTTTCTGTCCTCATCTTTTTAGAGAAGGAATCTTCTATCTCTTTTCTTCTTCCAGTGTAACAATAAACAGGAAATCCTAGAAATAAAACCAAATAAAACTTTATGCAACAATATTTAATTGATCTGTTAATAAATGCTGCTTTCTATCAGATAATGCCTTCTGATATTTAATGAACTGCATGTTTTCAGGTCCAGAAGAAACAGAGTACTGCAACTTCTCTGAGGTGAGTGAGTGAGGTCAAGTTAAGCAAGTTAATGCAGATGATACATTTCTATGCTTACAATTGCTAACTCAAATACAAATTCCTGTATTGTCATTTTGCTGGATAATATCCTATTCTATCCCTTTTCCTGTTATCATTGAGTGCTGATTTTATTTACTTACCTTTAAAACTATTGGCTCTAGCAGAGCACCTGCTAGGCAAGGCTAAATGTGGGTCTTATCTCATTCTCGCCTCAGAGGCTCTTTAGACTCACAGTTATTTAAACAGATGCTTCAGTTTGTGAGAAACTGTCTGTTTTATCGAAGAGAATCTAAGAATAAGTAGTTAGTGAAACCCTGTGTGATCAGAACAGGCAGGAACATTGGAAACATCTGTATCTGTTCTCCTTTACAAGGTAAAATATCAAATGAATGCTGGTTTGACGAAAAACACCAGATTCCAAATTCTACTTAAATAAGACTTATGCTGTGTCTGAACGTCTAGTGGATGAACACTAGACAAACAGATATAACCCAGAACGCTTTGTGAGAGCTCTCCTCACTTAACTTACTTATATAACAGATGTTCATTTAAATCTACAACAGATTTTAAGTTTCTAATAGTTAATCTAATCACTATTTCCCTCTTTGTCATATAAACATGCTGTCTGAAAGGTTTGTCCTTGTTTCCTTGCAGGCTAAAGATGGTGCAGTAGAGTACTCTGAGCTGAAACTGAAGAATGATGCCACTAGTTCACCCAGCAGCGCCCCCTGTGGTCAGGCAGATAATGTGACCTACTCTGAGCTTAAGGTAGCA